TGCTGATTAGATTTCGGTACCTAGAGGTCAAAGGTCAAGGTCACTGCGACATGTGATATATTAGGACTGTCCGTACTGAATTTTATTGGTAAAATTCACTTGGACTTACTGATTAACTGATTAGATTCCAGTGGTCAAAGGTCAGGGTCATGGTGGCCTCCAAAAACATGAATGTGATAATCAATTGGTTGTCACTTAGACACAAAGATATATCTTTTTACATATCAGTGGTCAAAGGTCACAATGACCTTATATGAATCTGGAAGAAAAATGTAGAAATGTACACAGACACTGCTGGTTGGTGAAGGCATACAACAGCAGTGCAGTAATTCTAGTTACTCTGTTGATGTGTTCCAATCATCACATAAATTTCAGCTACAAGGTTAAAATGAAAATGTAAAATTTGCCTGGAGGTATAAAAGACTCATATTGTAAGAAAACAGAATTACCTGTCAGTACTATCCTCATTCACAAAATTTTATTGCATTTGTGTCCTTTGTCAAAGTCTTCCCATAAAAGAGGTAATGACCAAACTCTGCTAATGTCAAAGTGTATCATCATCAGGGGACGGCACTAAACCAGAACTATGTCCATACCCGATATAGGTGAAAATCCAATACATACCTGCTCTCGTGGCACTCCTACATGAGAGATTCTTAGTGTAATTATTCCTGATCTTTATATGGAAACATTAAGCTCACTCTTCATCTGCTCCACGTCCCACCACTGGCCTTGAGAATCACCAAAAACTGTTTGACCATTTCACCAGACCAAAAAGGGAACAAAGACAAATATAGAGGATTTTGTTTGTAAGACAGCTTGACTTTGCTACATACTGCCTTTGCCTTCTATTACACTAAAACAAAGAGCTTTGCTATATTCATTTTGTTGGGATTTGGTGGGTGTTTTAGTGGTGGGAGGGAGAGGATTAATATCCCATGAAGGCAGCCATAACTAGAAAGGTTAGATCATGTTTTTCTCTGTGGGCTCATCATCTTGTCATTGCTCCCTTTGGATTCTTTCACAAGGGTTTAAGACTGTTGGTCTGACTGTGGAGATTGCATCGTCATAAAATACCTGTGTCTATGCATGTGTCTAGATCTGATGTAGCTCAATTAATCCCGGAAACCTTGTGTAATTAACATTTCATGGTTTTGACATTATTTTACAATGACAGGGCTAAGCATTCTGTTGGTTATGTATGATACATCATGCAGGTTATGCATTGTGTGTAGATGTGTTTTTGTGAAGTTACATGCTGTATAACCTGAGTTTGCTGCCCTCTTGAGAGAATCTTGTACATATTGCTATTTATTTTGTATTGTGTGTGTGTGTGTGCGAGAGAGTTAAAGAGAGACAAGTGTGATGTGAGGGATTATTGTAACGTGTATATTTTAATCACAGACACTCATCGTGTTTTTGCACCATTTTTTGTTGGGTGGTATGGCCTGTCCAAACTCTATCAGCGGGATACTTTACACAGGAATCTGCAATTGAATGAACAAAAAGAACACATTTACCATCCTGTCTTCTGCACCACCGCCTCTCACAGGGTGAATCTTTTGTCTTAGATTAATCACATTTACACCCCCTGTGCCATGCTGCCATTTTCTCTCTTTGTATGAGACAGAATCTGTCGCAGGAAGAATCCTTCAGATGATTGGTTCATGAAGGATACTCAGAGAAGCAAAGCTCTCTGTGAAATAACCTGTGTAGAATGAGCACAACAAACAGAACCAGCTTGAAGCGGTTTTATTGAACCAACAAAGAGCTAATGAAATCAGACCAAGTCTAATCTGGTTTAGTACATTACTTTGAAACAGTCCTGAAACATCAAGCACAGATCACATCCCATGAAATGTTTCGGCAAAACTCTGATATTGTGTGATATGTACAAAACCTATATATGAAATAGGATCCACAATAAGATCAATTTCAGTTGAAGAGCTAATGTTAAGTTGAATTATTCTACTCTACTCGGTTTGTACAAGTGTCATAACATTCATATGGTGGAAGAACAGATTAAATACCTTCACACCTTTTGTCTGTGTCGTTTGTGGATTTGAGGGAGACTGGACTCAAATAAACTGGCAAGAAGGTGTAGAGAATAATTTACTATAAGTACACAGGCTGACAGTTGCTATGGCTGGCAGGTGTCAAACTAAGATGCTGTCAGGAACTAAACAGTAGGTAACACTGCAGAGCCTAGCACACGAACTGACCAGGAGAACTGGAAGCACACACTACAAACACAAGGGAAGCTGGGATAATAGGACGCAAGTGAAACATTAGGGTGAGGCAGATAATCATTAGTGAGAACAGGAGGTAAAGCAGACAACAGAAGGTAAGTGATATCAAAATAAAACTGGAAATAAGGATCCAAAGGCATGTCACAATTTACAAACAAAGTATGTTTCTGAGTATTTCTTGTTTAATTTTTCTTTTAAATACGGAATTTTCTAACACTACTGTTTAATACAAAGCAGACTAGAGATTAAGAAACACAGAGGTGCTGTGAGCTGTGTCACTATGCAACAGAAATGTATTTCCATTTTGGCATGTTAACATGCCAGCTAATTACTGATTAAGTACAACTGAGACTAAATGGTTATTTGACTTGCAGGTTTTTAATTTTGGTTGTTTAGACAAATTCAAATTGAGGTCTAATGATGGTACTCATACTGTACTGAGGGAACAAAATTAAAGTGTAAACAGGATTGCATTATAAAAGTCGGGAAAACATCTCACTCTTAACAAATGTCAAGCTCCTGGAGGCACTGGAGGGGATCAGCATAGTTAGATGGATACATCACCTACATGGGAACAATGAATGTCTGAACCAAATGTTCCAGTTCATCCGGTACATTTAAGCCATTTTAATGAATAAGTGAAAAAAACATTGACTTTGACAGTGGTTGTGTTGCATAAAAAGTCTGGTCCAAACTATTCGAAATTAAACTGAAAGATGAAGTTTGAGGAGAAGAGAAAGTATTGATTGGATACATGAGTTTCCCTATAAAATTATATGTCCCCATACCACTGAGATGTTTGAAATGTCAGAGAATAAGACATGAAGAAGCTCAGTATAGAGCCAGAGGCCAGGGTGTCAGATGTGCTGAAGAGAATACAAACAGGATGTTATATGAAAGAAAAGGAAACCCAAAGATGCAAAACGAAAGTGCAAAACAAGTGTCATATGCTGAAGTACTAAAGCAAGTATTGTGGGGCATGAATCCACATTTCACTTTGAGCACAGACTTAAAAAAGGTAATCCCTGCGGCAGAATTTTATTCTCTCTACACAGGTTTACATGAGTGTAATTTGTGGGAAACTGTATTATTGGAGGGGAGAGAGGAAGTTGATTGGGCAACAAAATGATCTTTCTACAGGAAGTAAATAAATCAGGAAGTAATGTAAGGAAGGGTTTAGCAAAAAGCAAAAGGATAAGGGAAGAAAAGGCAACATTTAACAAAGCAAAGACACAATGTTATTTCCTTTTCATGAATTAATGACTTGTTTTCACACAACCATCCACTTAGCTCTCAAACTGACAAGTAACAGAAGAGAAGAAAAAGCTGTTGTTTTTGAAAATATATACAAAACACTCACATTTAGACATATGTAAGAAACCAGACACACACACACACACACA